TTTTGTTGATAATTCCAGGTTAGTGGATTAACAACGGTGGAGCTTGACATAAACATGCACTGTGATGCCTGTGCTGAGCAACTTAAGAAAATGATTCTCAAAATGAGAGGTAATTAAGGAATTAACTTGAGTGTGACTGATCAACCTTATGAGAGAAGATGACAAGGGGATCCCATGCATTTGGTCTACTGGGTGCCCACCCCAGATGTTTCCACATCTGCTAAAGGTGGGGCCTTTCTGGCGTAGGTCTGCGGTTGTTTAGATGGAGAATCTTGGGACCTCGCCTAACCCCAAGCCCATGCCCTGCTGTAAATGAGTGCTAAGAGAAGCTGATTGTCTAAAGATGTTTCCTAGTGTAGTCCAACGCACTGTTTTCACTTTAGAAAAACGATAAAACAAACAAATAAAAAAGAGAAAAACTGCACAGAATCTGACTTATTAGAAGTCGACAGTGAACATGGTTCGCATGCTAATTTTTTCTCCTTCTATTTTGAATAGGATAGATTTGGCATGAACAGATTAAGGTCCACTCAGGATCGAATTGAGGATTAATCTGTTCATGTTTGATATAAAAAAAAATGTGATTTTTTCTTAATTAGAAGTGTTTTGATTGATTACAGGAGTGCAAACAGCGGTGACAGACTTGAGCACAAGCAAAGTCACAGTGACTGGGACAATGGAAGCAAACAAACTAGTGGATTATGTTTATAGACGCACCAAAAAGCAAGCCAAGATAGTCCCACAACCTAAGCCAGAGCCAGAGCCAGAGCCAGAACCAGCAAAGGTAGAAGAGAAACCAGCAGAAGAAGCAAAACCAGCTGAAGAGAAAAAGGAAGAACAGAAAGAAGAAAAGAAAGAAGAGGAAAAACCAGCAGAAGAAGATAAAAAGGAAGGAGGTGGTGACAGCCCTGAAAAAAATGAGAAGAAAGAAGATGAAGGGCACAAGGAAGTGGTAGAGAATATTGACATCATCAACATTGATGAGGAAAACATGAAGAGGATGATGCATTATTATGATCAGCCACTTTACGTGATTGAGAGAATCCCACCTCCTCAGCTCTTCAGTGATGAGAATCCCAATGCATGTTGCATATCATGATCTTGTTATCATATTAATCAGTTTCCATATAAATGTTTTATAGCAAGCAGCGCATTTACACCACCATTGCTCATGCTGAGATAGAATTTAGAGAGGAGTTGATGAGATGGTGTTGATATAATCAAGTCTGCTGTGGGGAAGATAAACATGGGATCTCCTGCTGTATTTTATGTACCATATTAAATATTAAATGAATGATGCAACGCATGGTCATTCCATCTCCACGACAAAAATTATGCTTCTGCTAATTAAATTATGAACTTTCTGAGTGGTTGACATATGCTTCCAACTTTTTTGTCATTAATCAGGGTTTTATAATTATGAATATTTTACCATCTAAAAAAAATGATAATTTTAGCATAAGAAGTATATAACTCTCCTAGTGAATTTTTTTCCTATTATTTTAACTCAAGATTTATTTTATTTTATATTTAATTTTTATTAAATAAATAAAAATAATAAGATTTGAATTTGTGACTACTTGATGATAAAAAATCTAATATAATATTAAAAAACTAATTTAATCTAATAATTTAAATTGTTAGATAAAATTACAAGATATAATTTATATTATTTTTTAATATATGAACAACCTTAATTAGAATTAATATATAGTAGCTAATCCTTAATTAGAACTAATATATAGTAGCTAATTAAATTTAAGGTGGATATAATTTTTTGTTTTGGAAGTCAATTAAAATTCAAACCAACATTAAAATATTATATTCAGAACTCAGTTGGCAACACAATTAATACATTCTACATGTAATGCTTTTTAATTAATTTTATAATTTAAAGAATAAATATCTGTTGTGATCAGCTAAAAAGTCTTAATTTTCACCTAACAATAGCCCGTTTTAGACTTGCCGATCATCATGAGTTCACATAATTAAACAAAAAAAAGTGCTTGATGGATCATTCAAATATTAGTTAACTTGGAAGTGTTAAATTGTAAATAGCTAGTTTATGGGTATTTTTATTTATTAGTATCTTTAAAAAAAATATTAGATAAATAATAATTTTTTTGATGAAATAACATAGTTTGGTATCTATCGTAGTTTCTAAACACAACATTTAAAAAAATTATAATTGAAAAACACTACATTTAAAATATTATATTTATGAACCTGATATGTATTAAATTTCAAATTAACTATCAATGCTAACCATAAATAATACTCTAATTCTAACCTTGATATCTTTAAATTTCATGTTTTTCACTCTTGACTTATTTAAATAATTCATTTAGTAACTATAACATTAGTTATCAAATTATGTTATTTCATCGAAACATTTTTAAAATATATTTTTGTCAAGTTTTTTTGTTTTTTTGCTTTTTGTTTTTGACGAAGAGTATTTTTCCTATATATATATATATAAATCAAAACTCATGACTTACAGCTAGATCAATAGAAATCAATATTACCCTTCCATGCATCTTCTCCTAGGTAAGAGAGAGGACAAGGGTGGGTTTTAAAGCTAAAAGAAAAGAACTCTTATGTATACAACATGTCCTATGCATCTGCTTATCCAAAACAGCAGCAGCCATCTTAATAAGGTCTTGATGTTCTTCTTCATCAAGAAATCTATATATCAACTTCTTATTCACAAAAAGAGAAGTGACTGTAAAAGTTTCATTTTTTTAACCTAAAGACATATTAAAAGTTGGCAGTACGTAGACAAACAAATTATGTTTGTGGATGCCACATGTTAGAAGATCATCACAATAAAAATATTTGAAGTTTGAGATTCCTTGCTGAAAATCCAGATCAGGTGGGGCTAGCTAGGGTTTTCACATGCACGGTGGGTCAACCTCGTGATCAGCGGGCACTGTATATGAGATCTGACTCGTCTTGTATAAGATAGGATCATAATAAACACCAATGGGATACAAACTAACGTGGCGTCAAATGGCGGTGGGGATAACATGTCTTTTTGTTCCCATACACAAAAGTCGTCAGAGCATGCCCCTCATGGCCGCCATGCCCAGATCCTCAGTTTCTTTCTGAAAAGTAGATGCTTGCCGATGTCACATAATGATTTGATCTAAATTAATCAGAGTTAAGCATCCACTTAACATTGGAAGTTGCTAGAGCGTGGTACTATTGTGATTCACAAGATTTGAAAACATGATAAAGCGTGTTTGATTTATGATCACAATCTTGTTAACAGTACTGTGCTAGCTTGTTCCGTATATATTGTGATTGCAGTTTGAAGAAAAAAAAGTGTAGGAAAAGTTGTAATGTAGATTTAAGAGATAATTTTTAGTGGAATTCGAGACCACAAAATTGAATATATGATATTTGAAGCAAAACGCAATCTTAACCACAGAAACAAACCGAAGCTCGCTGGCTAGCAAGCTAGGTCACCATGAGAGCCTGAGAGAGTGTTTGTTTTGGTTGTGATTGGGTACAATTCATTTAAATTCATTTATGCATAAAATTTAACTATAAAAATTAACATTTTTTATTTTTTATAGCTTTTTTAGTGATTCTTCATTCAAACCACAACTCCCATCTCTAAAACAAACACACGACACTGCTTGCAGGCTGCATGTACTCTTGTCGGTCATAAAGAAAGATATAAAGGCTATCTGTGGATAAGAAAATAGCTTGAATGAAATCTCTTCCTACAGCTCCTTTTTATTTTTTATTTTTATTTTACTATTAGCATGTTATGGCAGACTTCACGTCAAGAAAAAGCATGGCATGATTGGTAATGCATTAGTGTGTGGATAATAATATTAAATTTAATTTTGATTTGTTTTTAGGTTTTAAATATGTTTTTTTAATAAATGTTTTTTTTTACTTAAATTATTTTTTTAATATTTTCATATATATCAAAAATAATATTTTTAAAATAAAAAACATTTTAAAAATAGCTATTATCACGCTTTCAAATACTCCTTACAAACCCTTGTAAAGAATATTAAACCTAGAATCTAGATATGATTTAAAACACAAATGAAATATATATGATGTTGTAAATTCTATGTTCTTGATAAAATTGGAAACTACAGCCTCAGCTAGCTAGCTTCTTCCTCCCCATTTCTAGTAGTTCTTCTGTTTCTGTTATTATCCAAGGGAATCCATAACGTTATATACAAGATATCCAATGTAAATAATAGGCTTAATAAATCCAATTGTCTAATAGGGTATATGTACACTTAAGCCATTGATTTTCCACAGGCAAATATATCCACTAGTCTACATTAATAAATAAATAAAATCTTACCACCATGACTTTTGAAGACAGCATGTAGCGTTTACTGCAAAAAGATCCTGTCGAATTAATTCAAAGCTTTAAATTGCAAGGGCATATATAAAGGAAGAACAAGTACAACTGTATATACTAGCCAAAACAAAATCTGGACTCTGCACGTTACTTTGCTGATGACATTAATTTGTTCAAGAGAGGGAGGCAATCCATGTTCTGCTAATGCCGATAGAGATTCAACAGGAAGAAGACACTGAGTAAAAGTTAGCAGAAGCAAATTAAGAGTGCATGCATGTGCATGGTGGTGTCGCCGAAAACAACAACATGTATAAAATGATGATGCCTTGCGCACTTGCCATTTCCTTTAAGCATAATTACAAACTGCATGATCAAATTAAGAAACAAAAAACATATTGGAGAGATCTCAATCAAGATTTTGTTATTCTCAAAGGCAATTAATATTTGCTTCTTTGGCAAGGAAAACAGCTCACATGGGAGCCAAACTTGGGGGCAGGTTCAACTTCCATGCTTGTATGCATCATCTTCCATGGAAAAAGAGATGAAATAATACACCTTTTGATTTAACAAACATAATTGCTGACACATCCTTACCCTTATCCATGTCACAAAGCCTTCTAAGTCAAGAATTCCCCCCTGTTATCCTACCATGCATCTCTTTAACTAAACTGATCAAGCCGCCATGAACAGTGCCAAAACAATAAACAGCTGAGTTCAAGAAAATGTCGAGAGAAAGAGGAAAAGAAAGGGTTAAAAAAGATTAGAGGCCACTTTAATTGCTCCTTTTTCTTTCTCCTCCCAAGGAATCCATGAATGTAGGCCAATTGGAGCTCTACCCAAAATCCTATATATACAAAGCATGAAACCATCTTCCATATCTAGCTAGCTCAGAAGTAAAAAGAAGAGCTGGGTTTAGTTCTTGGATGTTAATTAAATTGTACATGAGGTTGTTCTCCAAATGGCAAGCATGCAAATTGTTCTAGCTTCCAGCTGCAAGAATGTTGAGGCACAGCACGTGGAGATGATGGTCCCTCTTTACTCCCATGGATGCGAGAAGAAGGTGAAGAAGACCTTATCCCATCTCAAAGGTAACTGATCAGAACTTATTAATTATAGCAAATTAAGATGACATAATTTTATCTTTTTGCGAGAATGATGTTCAGTCCTAATAACTTACATTTTAATTGATTAATTAGCAAAGATAACATAATGATTTCACCATAATTGATGAACGATAATTCACCGAAAGAAACAAGAGCAAAAATGATGTGTGGGATCGGCAGTGGCTGTAGGCGTAGTTTGGAGACATTGAGAAGGAACTGGATTATGGGCCCACTAATTATCTATGGGTTGATGGAATTTGCATCCATTTATGTGCTCCAGCTGGTCCAATATTCACTCAATCGATAAACTAGCTTGGTCGCAAAAGTATTAATTAACCTCATTATTGCTTGGGGGCTTCCACTTCTGTAACTTTGTGTTAATTTTCTATGGAAATGGCAGGAATTTACTCCGTAAATGTAGATTATTATCAGCAAAAGGTGACGGTATGGGGAATATGCAACAAACATGATGTATTGGCAACCATAAAGAGCAAAAGAAAGGAAGCTCGCTTTTGGAATCCCCAAGACAGCACTCAAATGGAAGAAGAAGAATCACAACCACCGTCGTCGCCGCCACCACCAAAAGAGTCCAGTACCATTCCTTCTCTGACTCTAATGAAGGCTCGTTCCCTAACTCGTTCCTTAAGCTGGAAAGTATGGAAAAAGGTCTTCACAAGAACCTATTCCTTCTAAAGAAATAATTAAACATGCATTTTGGTTGTAGCTAAAATTAAGAACTCATAACGAGTGTAAAATATATATTTGACAACCCAGCTAGCTATTGTCTCATCTTAATTTTGTAAGTAAATTTGCTAGCCATGTTCAAGCATCCCGGCCCTTTGGGCTTTGTAATTCTTGCAAGAAATTGACGGTGGTGTATTGCTTTTCTCCATCTCTTTGCTTGGTGGAGACTTGCAAGTCGTTTTCATAAATGGCTGTCCATGTGTTCTTTGAATTTAGACTTGTAATAAATAATTCATTGACCATCCTGAGGGAAACAAATCTCTACACATTAGGTTACGCATCACTTTTTTTTTTTTTATTAACATGGATGTTTTTTTTATTAACATGGATGTTTTTTTTATTAACATGGATGTTCGGATCAGTTTGAGTGCATCACGACTAATCTCACGACTCACTAATCATTCTGCAAGCCCAATAAACAAATAAGACACCGCAGGATGACAAACATACCGTATAGAAAGAACCTAGTAGAAATATGAAAGAAACAACTTGCCAACCCCACTATCACTAAAACTCAAATTGAGATAAAAAAAAAGCAAGCAATCTCAACAGCCACTGAGCCACGACCCTGTCACTGAGCCACGACCCTGCTGGTGGTCACGCACCACTCTTAGGTGATTCGAGTAGTGGCCATAACTTTGTAGGACTGCTTGGTCCTTTCAATATATGTATATATAAATCTATTTTTGACCACATATGTAAACAGTTAGTTGATAATCATAGTACGTACTGCTTTTAATATAAAGTTTGAAAATGATTTTTATATTGTTATTTAGATTACGTCGCATATGTTATCCTAGTGTGGCTCGAAAGAGTTAGGAGAGTTGTTACCAAACTGGGTCCTCAAAGGTGCCCACGCAGCCACACGATGTTCATTAGTCTTGCAAGCCATTGCAGGTCCACCCACGTTGCTCCATTGTTTTCAGTCATGCCATCTGAAACGTGATACATATTCCCCATTGTGGTCATCGCCGTCTTATCTTGATTCTACTCCGGTGGCCTTTAGGGTAAGTAACGGCCTCAGGAGGGGTTAAAATTATGCCCTTTTCCATAGATCGATCGAGTTTCAAACAAATTATTATTTATTCGCATCAGAGACCGTTTTGTATTTCGTTACCTTCCCTGTGATCTGAATTATGAATCATAAGGTAGAGAATCAACCAAGCTCACGCATGGAGGAAGCCTTAAAGAATTGAGTCAGTTTCTACACATGAATATTAATTAATTAATTAATTAATTCCGAAATACCACTTGATTAATTAAAACAATTAAAAAGGAAGAAGAAGCTGTTAGATCTTCTACAACAAGTTTCATGTTCTTTTTCTCTCCCTTTTTTTATTTATTTTTTAAGAATAGAATAAATTGGAAAAGATGATAAAATTTGATTAAGAAAGGAGGCGTTAAGAAAAAAACAATTAAATTGAGGATGCGAAATATTGGCCGATTGGACATATGTGATATTACAAGGACTAATTAGTTTGTTTTCAAGCAATATAGGGATTGACTTAGAGTTTAGCCAAGGATGTTATCTGCAATCACACAGAGCTTGCAATGAAAAACATGTGAACTTTTATATATATAAAGAGTTCAAGAAAACATGTGTGTCTTTGTATATAATAAAACGTAATCATTTTTAAGATATAGATACCAAACTTAACGTGTAATGAACAAAAAGTGTAAAAAGTTTTTGTTTTTGTTTTTTTAATATATACATCTGTGTGTATTTACATAGCTACGCTAAGGTATTGAACGTGGAGTCATGGAGTTCATGCTTCAATGGTAAATTCATTTTTTTTTTTAAAAAAAAAGTAATTAGGTTATCCCACTTTTTTTAGTAGATAACGTTATGATCACACCATATTATTAGTTTTTTAATTGAGTATAATAACTTGTTTTTTAATGAGTTTTAAAAATATATTTTATTTTAAAAATGTTAAATTAGCGTTAAAAATGACCCCAAATATATATATATATATATATGTTAATAATTACGAGCTGATATTAATTAGCAAGATTCGGATTCTTAACTTGATGAATAATTAAGTGATAACATACTTATTGTTAATGCAATCTACTCGATTCGAATATGACTTACTTTAAATATGTACATTTCTTTATAAATATATTGTATGTCAGAGAGAGAGAGAGAGAGAGATGGAGGCCAAGATATCCCACTGCCTTTTGGTTTATAAATTTGGCTTCATGTTGCCTACTTTCTTCAAGTCCTCAACAACTCGACTATCCGAGGCTTAGAAGCCTTACATTTCTACATATTTACTTCCAAGAACAGCAACATTTCACAGCAACAAAACCTATTGCTGCCTACTCTGGCAAGAATTGATTGGCACGTATATGCAGTGGTCGCAGATAGATTCAGGGGAGAGAGAGAGACAGGAATTGAAGATGATAACGGTTGCAATCATGGCGGAGCTACTGGAAGAATATGCGGTGGCTCTGGCAAGAATTACGGAGAGATTGATGCCACCAAGACGCAGCATTAATGGTTTTCGACGTCTCAGGAATCCCCGTTTGCCTTCTTCTTCAGCTGCCACTCATGATCAAGACCCCTGTTCTTTCATTGTTTATTTCTGATTCATGCCTACCCATCTCTGCTGTTCTTCTTCGTTTGTTCATGTTCTGGGCTTAATTCATTGATGTATGAGATTCAATTCCACCCCCATCTTTCTTGTAGTTTTCTTTACTTAATCAAGAGGCCCCAGTTTTCTGTGAATTTTTGTAGTTTATGCATTAATTTGTGGCCCAGAAAATTTCATTATGATCTCTTTTGAAAACACTGATGCGTCCCCACACACTCAGCACATTTATGCAAGTGCTTGTGCTGTCCTTGTGGGGCTCCTCCTATTGCAAGATCCAAGCTTTTCACAATGACTAGCTGCAAATGATAGACGCAATCCATCAACAACTTTTCACAAAGTGTGGTTCCATTCATGAACAATTTCAAAAAGTAAATTTATTATCCAAATTGGTTCAAATTTCTAACCATCGAAACATATTAAAACTATCATCTTGTTTTTCTATAAATAAATAATTTGTTTTTGACTGAATTAGAAAAATGAATTTGGTTCTGATATAAGAAAATCTTTATATAGTTTTTGGTTAATGCCTTGGAATAGAAAAGATAATAATAATTAAAATAGCGGTGTGCGTTTTTTTTCTTTTTTTATAAAAAAATTAAAGGGACAGAATTTAGTTCAAATATATATACACACACACATACACACACACACATACACACACATATACATATTGATTATTATTTTTTGATTTTCAATTTGGCTTTAGAGGAAACATTTCAATGTTGAAAGCCTCTTTAAATAAAATTCCAGATTAGATATTCAATGATGAAAATCAGATAACACTCAAAATCACATTATTGCACATAATTTTTCCGGTTGGGACTTGATTGTCTGTTAGGGTGATTCGGTGGTAAGATTGAAAGAATCAATTCTTTAGGTACTGACATCGTATAGTAATCATAGTTTGCGGACTGCTGCCTATTTTATCAAATCCAACACAAAGCACCAGTAAAATAACACTTGTTGCCTTGGAAACCTTCAACTTGAAGACTCGCAGAGAGAGCACTGCCATATCTCTTTCCCCGGCTCTCTGGCACCAGTCTTCTTCTCCGGTAACAACTTTTTTTTTTTCCTTTTGACTTTCCTATTCATTGATCTTCATCATTTGTATTGTATATTGATTGTTTTTTGCATGATTCTTGTTCTTCATCATTATGGTCATTCCTTTTGATTGTTAGTCCTGATTATCACTTTAAAGATTCTTAATTTCACATGGATTTTTGTGGGTTTTGATCATTTTATGCAGTTGTTTGTTAACACAACATAAAGATATAGGCTTAATGAGATGATGAATTATGGGGTTTCTTATGGTTATAATAATGGAGGTGGATCATCATCCTCCTCTTCAAATTTATCAGCTTCAGCCCCACCTTTCACTGTTGATAGGTCTGCAGCAAAACCCCTTTTGGATTTAACTGAACCCACTTATCCTGTTAGCTTGAATCCCTCCTTACACAATTGGGTCACCTCCAACTCTTACATTCCCAATTCAAGACCTGATCTCTTTCCCATTCCAAACCTGGAATTTGATTCCTTGCCTTCCCCACTTGCATTTGGATACTCCTCGCCTACTTCCCAGATGCCATCTATGAGCCACCCTCTTGTTTCGGCTTCCACTGATGCTGTTTTGTATGGTCAAGGTAATCCTAGCATTGTTGAAGCTAAACCATATTATCCGTATGTTTCACCTGCAATTGCTAGTGATGGTTCCTTGAAGATCCCCAACCAATCTGGTTATGAATTGTTGTCTACCTCTCATGTTGGAACATCTAATGGATCCTCTCGTGATGGTTATAGTCAAAGCTTGGTAGTTTTGGATCATACAGCACAGTGGAATGGCTTGTGGGAGGGAGTTACTGATTGGCATCAGAGCAAAAAAATGCAACTTGACGGAGGTTTTTCTGCGAAGGAGAATTTCATTAATCAAGGTATACTTGTCTTATTATTACTGTTATTATTGAGAATTCAAAAAATTATTTTAGACCTTGCATTTTGTTCTTGTCTATTCATGCTCATTATTGATTTTGTCGTCTTTATAAATTAATTACTGTTCTTATTATTCATCATAATATATACCTTGTATATTTATTTTCCTGTAGTTGCATCTCCACATTAGAATGAGTGCTATTCTGAAGTCTTTATACATGGTCTAGCACAGCATACACACTATATTAAGCTGTAATTTTTCTGTTTCATGCCACTTGGTTATTGTTTCCATGCCCATTGAGAAAGTATAAGAAAGATGAACATTATACAAAAATGTGATTTTCTTTCAAATTCGTACTTATTAGTGAGATGCATTTTGTCATGTTTTCTTTTTCACTGCGGAGTAATTTTATTCACATCTCACTTCTTTGTATCTATTCTTCTAAACTGTTTTCTAAAGGCACTCTTGCTCTGCTGGGCAAGTGGTAGGCGTCTACATATAAGCCTCTTTGTAACTTGTCCATTCCTTATTGAAGAGTCATTCTGATACCGAGGGATGTAGATAACACTGTCATAATTTTTAATACATCAGATATAAGGTTTGGAATATATTCCTTTTACTCTGCCATAATCTGTATCCTTGGGGTTACCTTTTTCCCTTATGTCATTGGAAGTCTTTAAGGAGATTCTTCTTTACCACCTACCAGAACCATCCTGAATTATGAGTAATTGTATCTTAATCGAATGATTTCGGCTCTAATTGCGCAACAAGTTCATAATTTTTGAAGTATGCACCCAGTGGAAAACAAATGGTAAGATAAGCATTTTTAGCTAGGATAATTACCTGTTATCTAGCATTTCTTTAATTGCTTCTACTTGCAGGGTTTTCTGCATTCAAGGATATCAGCAAATGTGAAGAAACTTCCCTTGGAATCGACGTGGTTGGTAGGCAAGCACACACTGAGTCTGCAAGCACAGGACAGCTGGATTATAAAGCGTTCCTTGGTGAAAAACCCAAGTTCCTGCATGCGGGTTATTCAACACCATCACCTTTGGTGTTTCCTTCAGTAGCACCACAAGCTTATCCTCAGGTACCATCCTCAAATGTAGTCAATTCTCCGATTAATCAAATGCCAGATGTCATTTCATATGGAAAATCCTCAAGGAAGCGTGATGCTAGTCCAAATGATAGTATGCCAGTGATGAAGCCTTCACCTGCTGTTGTTGTTAGATCCCCAGGGCAAGATACATATTCATTTAAAAATATGAAATCTGGTTGTGATGGTGATGAGAAGGGCAATAATTCCTCATCTGTGCCAGAGCCTAGCTCTGAAGGAAAAGTTTTCTATGATTCTAGCCAAATTAATTTTCATCTGAAACAACATGATGATTACTTGGCAGAAATTTCCTCTAAAAACAATGAGTTGCCAAGCAACAAAAATATTTCTGTGAATTTCTTCGATAAGCTTTTCAAAGAAAAAATGGACAATAAAGTTCTTCGTAGAAATCTAGATTTCTTCAATTTGGATATGGATGGTCATGAAGCCATAGGTTCTGTAGAGAATACTTCTGAAAGTTTAGATCATTACAACCCTGCTGTGGACTCACCATGCTGGAAAGGTGCTCCAGTTTCTCATCTATCTGCATTTGAAATTTCTGAGGTTGTGGACCCGCTGATTCCGAAAAAGGTAGAAGCTTGCAATGGCTTGAGTCCTCAGGACCCTCAAATCTCCCCTTCCGCTACTAATGATGCTGTAAAAGCCTGCCCTGAAAAACAAAGTAATATTTCTGTGCCCCTCAATCATGAGAGTCTGGAACATCAACCAGCCTCTTTGTTTAAGAGGCCTTTAGTTGCTAAAATGTTATTTAGAGAAGAAATTGATGATGCTGGGAAGTACGGACCCTACCAAAGGATACCAAGCTATTGTCATGAAGCTCAAATTTCTGATGTCATTGATGATGAAACTAGGAAAGAAAGTATCCTTTCTGATTTTAACTCCCTGCACACTGAGAAGCGAAGTCTTGAAGATGGTGAATGGCCATCAAAGAAAAATTCTTATGTTGCAGATGTTAGGAGGAAAATCAATGATGACCCTGATGATTGTTCATCTCACGTACCGTTCCATGCTATAGAACAGGTCTTATGTTCGCCACCTTCATCAGAACATGCCCCTGCTCAGCACACCCAATCACAGGGTGAAGAATCATCGTCAAAGATGCATGCACGAACACTTGTTGATACAATGCACAACCTTGCAGAATTGCTCCTATTTTACTCTTTGAATGACACTTGTGAGTTGAAGGATGAAGACTTTGATGTTCTTAAAGATGTGATCAACAATCTCAATATCTGTATGTCGAAGAATTTGGAAAGGAAGATTTCAACACAAGAATCATTGATTCCTCAGCAAGCCACTTCTCAATTTCATGGAAAGTTATCTGATCTTTACAAGGTATTTCTTTATTTTGTTTAATCCATGCAACAACTTAGGTTTTTATAGAACTGGGAAGAAGCTATGGGCTCGGAAGAGGTATGAATTGAAGGCACTGCTTGGTGCAATGGTGAAACTTTAAAATCCCATCACACACAAACATTGACCTCTCATTGGTGGGTGATGTATGGATATCACCTAATTTTCATAGTAGCAAGATCATTCGATGGTCCAATCCCACACTTTTCGCTTCCGGTATTGAATCTATGATGTCCATTTAAAAAAACTAAACTAATAGGCATTATCTATGTGATAATCTTATGCCCTCATCAATCTTGCTTGTCCATGTTTTGATGTTTTATCACTACACTGAATAATGTAATTTTAGGTTGTAAATGTGAATTGACCTTGAGTGTGTTGATTTTGTTATGTTTCAGGGCCAACTTGAGTTTCAGTATTTTGAGGATGAGGAGCATAAAATTGCGTCTGATAAGAAAAAGGAGAAACTGTCAAATTGGGTTTCCACAAGGTGTGCTGCTGATACAGTCAAAGATGATAACATGACCCAGGTATTCTTTTTGTTGCTGTCACATCTATTTTATAGAAATTCTCATCTTAAAATGATTTTTGCTATGAAGGATGGAAAGGAGTAAAAGAAAACTTAATTTTTTTGGTACAAAAACGTGATTTGCAGGCTATAAAGAAGGTTCTTGCCAAGAATTTTCCGATCGAAGAAGAATCCGAGTCTCAAATTCTTCTGTATAGAAATCTATGGCTTGAAGCAGAAGCTTCATTGTGCTCTGTTAATCATAAGGCTCGCTTCAATCGAATGAAGATTGAGATGGAAAAAGGCAACTCACAAAAAGCAAACGGTAAACCTATTACCAATTTCTGATTGTCACTTTAAAAAGACACTTGCTGGCTAAAATCTTGTGTGTTTTGTACGTAGATTTTTCTTCTGCTGCCCCTGTTGTACCAGAAAAATCTATGGTCAAGGAGAATCTTTCAAAGCCCAAGGTTTCATCTGACATATTGCCTGCTGATGATAAGGGCTGCCCTGTCCAAGATGTTTCCTTAATAGATTCATCTATCTTGAACAGTAACAGCCATTCAGATGATGTCATGGCCAGATTTCATATCTTAAAAAGCCGGGTTGAAGACTCAAATTCTATGAGTACTTCAGCTGTGGAGAAATTATCAAGTTCCAAGGTTTCTACTGATCTGAACCTGGTTGACAAATTGGCATGTGACACGAATGATAGCACTAAGCCCAATTTATCCATCCAGGATTCTCACATGTCGGGAACAAGCAGTAATGCTGATGGTGTTAGCAGCCATGCAGATGATGTTATAGCTAGATTTCATATCTTAAAATGCCGGGTTGACAGCTCTAGTTCTGGGAATACTTCAGCTATGGAGAAATTGTCAAGTTCTAAGGTTTCTCCTGATCTGAACAAGGTTGACAAAATGGTATATGACACCAAAGATAGTACGAAGCCCCATATAACCATCCAGGATTCCCCCATGGCAGGAAGGAGCAGCCATGCAGAAGATGTCATGGCCAGATTTTGTACTTTAAAAGGCCGGGATGACAACTCTAATTCTGTGAATATATCAGCCATGGAGAAATTGACAAGTTCCAAGGTTTCTTCTAATCTGAGCAATGTTGGTAAATTGACTGTCGAAGCAAAAGATAGCACAAAGCCAGATATAACCAAGCAGGATTCTCCTTTGCCAAGCACATCAAGTCATGCAGAAGATACTGAAGCTGCTATTATGGCCAGATTGCTTATCTTGAAACACAGAGATGGCTGTTCAAGTTCCTTGGAAATGGAAGAGCATCAGCCAGAGAGCATTGATAGTGGGTACACCTGTCTGAGAAGGGATGTTCCAATGGGTAAAGGTGGATTGAAAGACAGCATTTTGGATGTAAATATGGAACCTGCCATCCGAAATTATCCTGCTGACTCTGCTGAAGACAAATCAACTGTGAAAGAATTCCGGTTATTTGTCAATGACGATGCCAAGATCCAATCTAGCCTCACCAATAGGTTTGGAGACCAACCTCATGCTGGTTGGTATGATAGCTGTTCATCAGACTGGGAACATGTGTTGAAGGAGGAGATTGTAGGGCAGGGTTATTGATGAACAAGTTGGATGCTCAATGTTCCCTCATCTGCAAATAATATCCTCTCTGTTTTCCAATAACATATATATGGTGTGACAGACATTTTTACGTTGGCTTTGCTTTAATGAGAGTTTGATGGCTCTTTGATCGTATGAAAAGTTTATGGACTTCGAATTTTGTAAATGTATGTGTGCCTTTTTTCCGATTTCATCTTCTAATTTACCTTGGACATCTAAGTTTAGTTTTTGCCTGGTTGCAGACTGAGATATCTGAGCTGGTAAGTGGTATGACGTTGATCCAGTAGTGAGTGCAGATGGAAGGGTATTCAGTTTCATCTTGAGTTCATAAATCCTTTGAACATATACCTCATTAACTTAGACAACAGAGGGACTAATTCGAGGGACCCCCCTATAATTTACTACCATCAATTTCCTTTTCCTATTCTAAAATCCAAATCAACTGTTCAAGTTCGATTTTGTCAGAAATTTAGAACACTACCAAGTCTGTATCGCTGGAACTTAATCAAAACTGTTATGGATTGCTCATGGAATTTCACTACTGTTTACAGAATGCTAATTGCATCCAAATTCTGTCAAATATCATTGTATTTGTACCGATTTAGAATTGGTCAGGACTCATGGCCCCTTCTTGCACGCAAAGAAATCATAAAGTAGATTATAGAGGAAGTTCTTATCTCCTCCAAGTTACTCACACATGCACAATCTTAAAACTATATGATTATGATATGATATTTTATCTAATCTTTAACCACTCTTGCTGAATTCGCTCTTCTTGCTCTCAAGTCAGACCAGTTGATATCTTTACGATTATAATGACAGCGCAATTGTTGCATGTGGATTATATTATAATGGGAATCATATCTGATTCCATATATCATGAAACTGACTCCACTTGTCTTTTCTTGTACTTTTGGAAGAGAATCATAATCTATTGCTGATCATGTAACAGGGAATTCCAGCCTAGCTGGTGCCTTCTCATCTGGCACCGAAAATTGCACAGGACTTTCTATTGGATGGAATAATTCATGCATCAATATAAAATGTTACGATGCCTAATTTCTTCAACTATATATAGACGAAGATTTATGCATAGATCATAGATTGATATGGTTCGAGCTAGATAGGGTGATATAAACATCACATCATGAGTTCCAAGAAGCTAAGTCAGCCATGTCTAGTGTGCTGGGTTGTTGTTTTCCTGTTCTGCACTCAAAGTGTTCATTCTCAGCTTGAAGTTGGGTTTTATAGAAGTTCATGCAAGATGGCTGAGTTCATTGTCAAAGGGGCAGTTAGAGATGGTTTCAATAAGGATAGAGGAGTGGCTGCTGGTCTTGTTAGAATGCACTTTCATGATTGTTTCGTTGGGGTAAGTGTGTGTGTGTGTGTGGAGAGAGAGACAGAGATGTGAACAAGTAAACATAATCTCTTCTTCTTTACTTCAAAGAAGCATAACGAGGAACCTTGGAAGGATTTCAAAGGAAAAAAATTAACAAGTTCATGTCTCTATAGCGTATGGGATTTAGATCTAATTCATGACAGTGCTTGATTAGAGACTAACTTGGTTACCCTTTTGGTCATTTAGGGCTGTGATGCATCTGTGCTTCTTGACTCCACTCCCTCAAACAAAGCAGAAAAAGACTCTACTGCCAACAACCCTAGTCTGCGAGGCTTTGAAGTCATTGACAATGCAAAGGCTAGACTAGAGACCGAATGCAAGGGAACTGTCTCATGTGCTGATATTCTCGCATTTGCAGCAAGAGACAGCATTGAGATAGTAAGAAGACATGATTGTTTGAAGTGTTAAACGTGCATGCTTGGATATAACCCTTAATTCTTTTGTGCAGACTGGAGGTTTTGGCTATGATGTTCCTGCGGGAAGAAGAGATGGCACAGTTTCACTAGCTTCAGAGGTCTCAACAAACTTACCTACCCCCAAATTCAATGTCGACCAACTCACTCAAAATTTTGCAAACAAGGGTTTCTCACAAGAAGAAATGGTTACCCTCTCTGGTACTTCACCTATATATACTATATCCTGTCAAAACAAGATTAATTCTTGCCAAAATCTCGACACTACTGAATGATCATAATAAACTCTGTGATGATATACATCCAGGAGGACACACCATTGGTCGATCACATTGCACTTCCTTCAGAAAGAGATTATACAACTTCAGTGGAACAACGAGCCAGGACCCAACCTTAGATGCTACGTATGCAACAAGTTTGAAGCAGATGTGTCCGCAAGGTAGTACAGATCCTAGCCTGGTGGTGCCGATGAACCCTGGTAGTCCAGCCACTACTGATGCAGGGTACTATCTTGATATCTTAGCAAACCGAGGCTTGTTCACATCAGACCAAACTCTCTTGACAAATGCAGCAACTGCAACTCAAGTGAATATTAATGCAAGAAATTCCATGCTTTGGAAGAGCAAGTTTGCAGCTGCCATGCTGAAGATGGGCAAACTTGATGTCTTGACCGGGAATGCGGGAGAGATTCGGGCTGATTGTAGGGTCATCAACAGTTAAGTAGCAAGGCTTGGGAGCTGAATTAACATTGATCTGCTTTTAAGCTTAAGGTCAATAGGATTCTTTCTTAAAAAAAAATAATAATAATAAATAAAATAATGCATGTTTCCAGTGCTTAATTTTATTATTTTCAAAAGCTCCAATTAATGACACTCATCTCCTACTTTGAAGGTATCTAAGTTCGAGCAATTTTTCCTTTACAATCGGAAAATAAAATAAAAAATCATATAGTTTCGATTCTTATAATATTATATTTTATTAAATTTTCTATTCTAAAAATAATAAAACTAATGGATGATTAATTAATATTTTCAAAGAACTAATAGGATTCTGATCCCATTAATTAATTTAAAAAAAGGGTTAAGCTTAAATATTGCTTGTAGTGAAATAAATGTTCCTTGACTTAGATATTGATCGTTGCATGTACAATGCATGATTTATTTTCTAATTAACTATAAAAAGATTTCCTAATCCGTAGACTAATTGTCCTTACAAACCTAATCCTAATGTTCTTGGGTAATTATTGCTTACAGATTAAAGCTTTTTTTGGGTTAGAAACTACGTGCTCCGTTGCATGTCTATGTATTTACTGTTTTAAAAAAGATATTTATTTAAAAAATATATTAATGTGATGTTATTTTAATGATTTTAATATAATAATATTAAAATAAAAAAATTATTTTAATAAAAACCCCCGACATTACACTACAATAACGAACCCACAGTACTTATCGAATATTCTAGAAGCAGTAATCCACGTATAGGAAGCTGTTTCGCCTTGATGAAAAAGACAAGATTACCCCTTAATTGGAGATCAAATTAATTTGGATGGAGACAAGATTACCTTGATTAAAAAATCTTTAATAATGCTTATATCTTTAATCAAATCTCTCATAGTTTTGACAGCTAGCCGTGGGACTCGTTCAGGGCCCTTTTCTTTACTTTTTTTATGTCGGTAGCCCTAATTATTGCAGGAAAGTTCAAAATGTGGAACCTTTGCGTGCAGCGACTAAATTGCATATCACAGCCGAGGGACTCATGCTTGCTCGAAAGTTTGGTATTTAACGTCCTTTAATAGGACTTTTTGCTTTCAGAATTAAGGAAGGAATTAAGGATATTTCAAGAACATTTCCAGAACAAAGATTATGGAGACAACGTGATTCGATGAACTTAGTGTTATATAAACAATATATTAAATCGAGAGAGAGATCCTTGTGATATATACAAACGATTAAATTTCTTGTTTTTAAAGTAATGTGAGATGACAGCATCATCATAGACTTCCAAGCAAGTGATTTGGGAAACGCAATATAATTGGTGTTCTCATAGACAACTCCATCCATACATGACAGTCCCTTCAAGACATATTGTCTTAACTCACATGAGTTAAGCCACATAATAAGTTTTGTTCTTGAAAAATCATCAGAGATCGATAAGATGCTCATCTCCTAGTCGATATAGGATAGTAATATCATCACAATGAGGACCTGTTTGTTATACTTATGGTTTTGAAAATAAAAAAATTCATTTCAAAAGTGTTATTATATATATGAACAGCCGGTGGTTTTGGAAAAGTTTAATATCCTTGAAGAAAGCCAGACATGATGTGATATTATACAAATTAATAATGGCGTCCTTGAAGGTGAGTTTATCAATAATCTCCAACACCAAGTCTCAAATTTGGTTTGGGGTGTCGGCTAAATATTCCATGCAAACAACGATCGCAAGAGGCAAGAGGTGGGTTCACAGTTTATGACTTTTCCTGCCTCAATATCCATATATCCCCAGAAAGAGTTATGGAGAGGACGTACTGAGAAACATATAATGTTAGGTTGGTTGCCATTAATGTGCAACAACCATTTGCTATTGCACTAACCATGTGCACTCATCCAAGATGTCAAAGGTTGGCAGCCACCATTGTTGAAGAAGAGTTGGAGTTGGCAGCCACCTTTGTTGAAGAAAAGCCTCCATGAATGCCTATAAATAGAGGCATATGCAAGAGAGCAAAATGAGTGAAGAGAATTATGAAAATGTGAAGAGTAGAGAGAAAGAGAGAGCTGCAATGGCAGCAGCCTTGCTGTCATTGCAGCAGCTGCAAGTGCAGCAAAGAGAGTTGAGAGTTGAGTATGAGAGGGTGTAATCCTCCTCCTCCATGTATTTGTTTTGTATTCTTTCTCTATCTCTAAATATATTGACTTCTCCCGTGGATGTAGGCTGTTTTGCCGAACCACGTTAAATATTGTGTCAGTGTGCTTGGCTCTCCTATGAGCAAGTATTAGAACATCACCGGTCGGAATTCCCAACAATTGGTATCAGAGCGTTCGGTTTAAAGTGGTGTTTGATTTTGCTCAAAAATGAAAGTTGTCAAAATTGTGTTTTGACCATACCACTGTGTAGAGGAGGAAGAGACGAAGCCACTGGTGAAAACCGCGTCGAAATCGGACGTCGAAAACCGTCGCACGCGCCGGCGGGGTGGCTGTCCACGTCATCAGCCACGTCAGCAGTTCTGCACAGTCATCAGACACGTCACCTGACATATCAGCACTCTGACCAGTCAAACTGCCACGTCAGCAGTTCTGCACAGTCATCAGACACGTCACCTGACACATCAGCACTCTGACCAGTCAAACTGCCACGTCAGATTTGGTTGACCTATATGTCCTACGTGGATGACACGTCATTACAGCCACGTCAGCTCCCTGGATTTTGATCCTGTGTGGCGGAGTCTATGTGCAACCGGTTCTGAGATTGAATCTGGGCCGTTTATCAGGCCAAAATTGTTTTGATCAAAACTTAGCCGTCTGAAGTGCGATTTGGACGATTTCAGACTTGTTTCCAGCTAATTTGATCGTTCCGGATGCAATGGTACGGTCCGATCATTGAGATTGAGATCAGAAATGGCAGTGATGAATTATTAAAGAGAGATTACCCGATCAGGAGGCATATGATGGTCATCATGGTGGTCGATGGAGCTGAAGAAGAAGAAATCACACATGTTTGCCCAATTACATGTGGTGAACTATTATGTGGGGAATTTTAATTGCCTTGAGGGAAGGTAAAATTGGGACACTCTAAACACCCGATCATGTGGACAATTTGAGGTGGAGAGTGAAATTTGATGAAGACCAATCTTGACGAATCTGAGCACTGGTAGTCTCACCAGATGTTGAGAAATCAGGTATAAAACCAGGATACCCCAGATCACTTATAAAGGAAAGCCGCAACAAAGCTAGCAAATGGTTGTATATACGAAAAGACAGTACGATGGATAGATATGGCCTAAGAGGTTCTGGCTAGGAGATTGGGTTTTAAGCGGGACCGTTGTGACCCCTCCAATCTTTCCTGGGAACTTGCTTAGTGGAAGGATTATCCATACGGTACTATTTTCGTATATGTGACAGTTTGTTATGAAACTGTTGAAGAGTAGCAGGATGACGGCACAAAGGAACAGTTGGGTTTCGTATGATCAAGGATTTGATGGAGTGGTGATTTCTCCAAGGAAGTTAGATTCGGTGACTATAATTTCTCGAGGGGAGAATTGATGAAGACCCTGATAATGGAAGAGAAATACAGCAAAGGGATAAAGATTGGCACCCTATTTAAACTTGGATAGATGTTGTGACAGGATGAGCTGCTGTCAAATATAAGCAAGGAATAGGGAGAAATCTGGAGAACCAAAATTGCACGAGAGCACATGAAGATTGTGTAGGAGTACCCGGAGGATCCAACGAGGTACTATAATGAGACAACAGGTGCAAGGAGAAGAAGAGTTCCTAGATGAAGCTCAGAGCAGAGACTATGAAAAAGTTGTACAACAAAAGTCTCTTGTGCTCTTGATAAAGGCAACAAGCGAGGACCTTTCAATGCATGCAAGGATGGAAGGATGAGCTGTTGCAGATGCACCTAATTAAGGGGGTGCAAACGCCTGTGATAAAAGGCGACCGCCTATGATGAAAGGCGAAGACACCAAAGGGAGTTGGTGCGGGTGGAGCTGTTAAGCAGAAAAGGCGTAGAAGCTCCAAACATAGAAATTGAGGTGGAGGATTGCGAGGAGTATACCGCAACTTTCTCTTTCTATGTAATTAGTAGCAAAGAATTTATGGAGCCACTTTGAAGCATCTTAGCTGAAGGAGGATGCGACCGCCTATAAAAGGCGAAGACACCTTAAAGAGAAGGTGTGGGGGCTATGAGATGAGCCCATGATTAGACCGCCGCATGACGACGAGCGGAGACACCTCAGGAGAAGGTGTGAGGGCCGTGGAAGGAGCCCAGTTCAAAACACCCCAGAGCCAATGTGATGGCTTGGTATGAGTGGACAGATGGATAGCCAATAAAAGGGCTATGATGAGTATGGAGACAAATGCAGGATTGACTTTCATGGATATTGCCCCCATACTAAAGATCAATGAGCTAGAAGACATTTGCCTTGGACAATAAGTGGATGACTTGTGGAGCATTAAGACGTGGCTGCTATGAAGGAGCAGAGGGCATGCGCAGGTTCCAAGAACAAGTTGACTCTTGTCAAGGTGGTGAGCTCGGTAATGGCATTGTAATACTCAGAGTATGAAGACAGATATGGATTAACCTTTTATGGGCTGCCCCCATGGTTAAAGGTGGAAAGCTACCTGGACTCTTGAGACTAAGAGCGAGAGACTCATGGAGAAGTAAGGCGTGGTTCATAGGGTGGAACAGAGGGCAGGCGCAACTCCTGGATGAGTAGACTCTTGGAAGAGTGGTGAGCTTGTGATCATATTGAGATACTCAGATAATGACTGTCGCACTTGAAATATCCGTTTGAGGGGGTGTTGTAAGCCTTGATGTGAGGCTTGATGAATCATTCCGGACTGAGCATGGTTGATACGCTCGAAGGGGAATGTTGTTCCAGAGACAAGCGTTAACACTATTCAGATGTGATATGGCAGACCATCTGGTTATAGTGATCCTTTTGTGTGAGAAAAGGTGTGCTTTGGTTACTCTGATGATTGAAAGGTTTGGCGAGTACCTATAAACTTGGCCAAAGATGCTCTCAGATTGGAAAGCTTGGAAGAGCTGCAAGATGCAAGTTTATGTTGAAGAAGCAAGAGGACAGTTGCCCCACATGAATGGCAAAGGGGGTGATTGTTAGGTTGGTTGCCATTAATGTGCAACAACCATTTGCTATTGCACCAACCATGTGCACTCATCCAAGATGTCAAAGGTTGGCAGCCACCATTGTTGAAGAAGAGTTGGAGTTGGCAGCCACCTTTGTTGAAGAAAAGCCTTCATGAATGCCTATAAATAGAGGCATATGCAAGAGAGCAAAATGAGTGAAGAGAATTATGAAAATGTGAAGAGTAGAGAGAAAGAGAGAGCTGCAATGGCAGCAGCCTTGCTGTCATTGCAGCAGCTGCAAGTGCAGCAAAGAGAGTTGAGAGTTGAGTATGAGAGGGTGTAATCCTCCTCCTCCATGTATTTGTTTTGTATTCTTTCTCTATCTCTAAATATATTGACTTCTCCCGTGGATGTAGGCTGTTTTGCCGAACCACGTTAAATATTGTGTCAGTGTGCTTGACTCTCCTATGAGCAAGTATTAGAACATCACCGGTCGGAATTCCCAACATATAATTCCTATCTTCTTCTTCTTTTCTTTAATTTCTTTTACAATCTCTGTTTTTTCTGTCTCGAGATATATAGTATAGTAATGGAATAGTTATCTAATTTTGACTAAGTTGGCAATATCCAAAGCTTACATCTTATTATTATTATTATTATTATTATTATTATTATTATATATTTATAGAATGCTCATACATATATTACAGACAAACGAGGGGGGAATCACCTCGCACAAGTGGGTTTAATTAATAGGAAAAATTATGATATGCTCATCTAGATTTTGAAAACTCACATAAATCCACCAAAGAATTTAATTACCAAAACCTTTAATAATTAGCCACTCTTGCTGAATTTTCCTCCCTCACTGTTGCTGAATTTATTATCCCACTCAATTAGTCAAAAACATTAGGTTTCTTTGTCTGATTACCTGATAATTCTTTTGCATGATGCTGAATTGAGATCCAATCATATATGATTCCAAATATCATAAATACGATTCAACTTGTCCTCTCTTCTATTTCCGGACAACTGACATTACTATATATATATATATATATACACATATATATTTCTTCAACTATAAATAGGTATAGCTTTCAAGTAAACAATTCAGGTTCGAGGATATAGCTAGTGTAAAGTTGTGGGGATAATGATGAGTTCCAAGAGGCTAACTCAGCTATCTGTAGTTTGTTGGGTGGCTGTTTTGTTTTTTCAAAGTGTCCAGTCTCAGCTTCAAGTAGGGTTTTATAGAAATTCATGCAGGAGGGCTGAGTTGATTGTGAGAAATGCTGTTAGAGATGGTATCAACAAGGATAGAGGTGTGGCTGCTGGCCTTGTGAGAATGCACTTTCATGACTGTTTTGTTAGGGTAAGCATAAGCTACCTAGCACGCACTCGAGCGAAGTTATTTTCTAGCCAAAAAAACACACGACTGACAAATTTAAAATAATAACATGATCCAAAAAGCTTAAAGTAATTATTAACATGTTTTTGCAACCGCAACCCTAGGTTGCCCTAATCGGTGTAAACATGTAAACTTAATTTTTTGCTTGTTCGAAGGTTATTAACCTGGTTAGATGTGTTTCTTTCTTTTTTACTAATGTAGGGTTGTGAAGGATCTGTGCTTCTCGACTCCACCTCATCAAACACAGCAGAAAAGGACTCTCCTGCCAACAGCAACAGTCTGCGTGGTTATGAAGTCGTCGACGATGCAAAGGCTAAACTAGAAGCCGAATGCCGA